TTTTTTGGCCTGACTTGGTGTCGTTGGTTTCGAGTGAGGCCTTGTGCGACTCACACAGTTTTTTCTCGGATGGATGCCCTGAACATGGTATTTTGAAACAATACCGATGGACATTCCTGTAGCAGCGCGCGCGTACATTCCAGCGCACGTGGTGTACCCAGTGCCCGCAGTACGACTGTCCTTTGTGTAGGCATGCGACTCACACCTGTGTTGCGACACGCTCCTTCATATGCCGAATCTTCACATTCCTAATGGTCGTATCCCCGCAAGTTCGTGCTAGTGCAAGCGCATACCTGCGATGGCTTGAAGCACACGTCCTACGCGTTCCAGTGGATGCGCCGTACCTTCAGCTGCAAAGTCTTGTCCGTGCACGGCCAGATGGGTCGACCTGATTGGACACGACGACCTGGCAAAACTACCAAGCAAAGCAGCCACTGCGACAGACAGACCGCATAGGTTTGACAGACTATACGCCGTCATTACTGCCGTCACTGTCATGTACGTGTGACAGGCACAACGGTCGGTATGGTAGTACTCGTGGTGGTGATGGCTTTCAAAATTCTATAACGTACCAGCAGCTAAGGTATTTCGTGTTGGCCGCCGTGCTTTGGCAGGATGACGTGGCACTACTGTTGCGATTTCGTGTAGTGCATTTTTTTGCCTGTGCAGCAGTACTCGCGCGGTAGCTGTGGCCAGTGACTGCCATCCAAAGTCGCGCCGACCAGTGAATGCCAGCTATACGCTCCAGCACTAGCCGTTTCCGTTCTCAGACATAAACCGTATACGTTCCAAAACATAGATCGTATGCGCTCCGCAACATAAACCCTATACGCTCCAACGCATAAGCCGTATACGTTCCCACACATAAACCGTATACGCTCCACAACATAAACCGTATACGTTGCAACACATAAACCGTATACGTTCCAACACATAAACCGTTTACGCTCCAAGATATAAACCGTATACGTTCGAACAGATAAACTCTGTACGTGTGCCACTGAATACCTCCTACGTTGTAGCGCAGAGGCTCTTGGTCAGATGTCGCGTATACTGGATATACTTCCAGTGAGCGCACATGATCGTATCCGTGCCACGACAGGTACCAGCACAGTCTTGATACACTTCAGCCAAAGTTTGCGTGTAGCTCCCTGTGCGTGTGTGTGTGTGTGTGTGTGTGTGTGTGCTACGTTCCTCCACACACCGTATACGCTCTAGGACACATGTTTTCTTTGCGCGGGCCTGTGGCTGCGTGCGATGTTTTAGAACATGTCGTAGACACTCCAGAAGATACTTCGTGTGTACTTTTGGACAGCGACGCACTGCGAACAGTAGAAAGCAGTGAATACCTGGGACGAGGACCTTTGACCACAGCAACTGCTACCTAAGATGGTCCACCACAGACAGATTGTACTGCACAGTTGGTGGGGTCTTAGACTGAAAGATGCATGAATCCGTTAATGCTGTTTTTTTTAGAGAAGGGTCGTCATCATTGCTGGCCAGCATTGAAGGCTCAGCGTTTGGAAGGGAGTGTGCCGGAATGTTGTCCGGCGCGTTGGTGTATTTGTGACATTGGGCCATGTTAGGCTCGACCCAGTCAGAGTGCTGGGAATGCAGGCTTTGCTGGCCTCAAAGTCAAGAACAAATATCCACAACCTTGGAGGTGCCAGACCAAGCTGTCATGTAGAATGTTCTAGAATTTTTTGGGAGCAGACTGGCAAGCAACTGGGCGCACACTGCGGATCTTCGCAAAAGCGCCGATTCCGAAAGAGGGTTTTTGTGAGACAGGTCGGCAGTGCCAGTGCAATGCTTTCTGATGTGGCAGGCGGACTCTGCATGAACCCAATTGATCAACAGACTGTATGTTTCAAAGGGTTTGGGAAACTTTTTGTGCGCATGCTGTGTGTTCCAGCAGCACTGTCGAGCTGAAAAACCCAGATTACGTCAAACCAATTCTGACGGCTTCGAGCAACAACACATGAACTGGCAACGCCTTTTTCAATATTTTGGTGTTCCTCCGGAAACTTTGTGGCTTCGCCGGCATGAGGTCTAGACCCATGCAGGTTCCTGGAACTTTGGAGTTTGCGAGGGAAAGACGGGATCTGTGTCAGAAAGATCAAACTGAAACAGTTTCGTCGCCTTTGTTTTTGTGAAGGGGTGATGTGCGCACAAATGCGCGCCAAGTTGACCACATGATCATATTTGTAAACGCGCAGCAGGTTGTCACGACCGTTAGAAGAATACAGCTAGTAGTGGGCCGAAGTCGGCCCGACTTGCATAGATCAGAGAAGAGAACGCAGTGAAGAGTGCCCCAACCACCTGCCCTCCGTCACCCCGCAGCACGGCAGGAGTTCTGCAACATTTGTCTTCATTTTGACGGCCCAGTGGTGGCCCCACTGCTCTTGCTGTTGGTGCCTGAAGGGACGGGGGGCTTGCGCAAGGCGCACAAGCGTCAGTGCACTCTGCCGAGCAGTACGCTTTGCAGAGCAGTGCTCGGATTTTGACTTTTGTTTCCGGCCCCAAAGAAACGAACTGTCAGGAAGACAAATGATTCTTTCCTTTCTTTTCACCAATTGTAGTGTCCCAACGCTGTTTGGCCATGTCCATGGGAGTGTGTGGAGAGCCTGGGACAGACAGACTCGCTGTGGCATTTGTCGCGTGTTCAGTTACGCCGCAGCTTTGACAAATAATTGAGTTTGTTTTGGTGCACTTTTTGGAAGGGTTCTGTTGCACGGAACCGTTGTTGCCGGGTTCGGCCCACGGCTTCCAAGCAGTTTCCCTACAGCCCGACAGGTGGCGGAGATTGTTCCACTGTGTGACTGACACCGGCCCAGAACTGAGCCAAGCTTTCACCGACTTACTGGTTCCAGATTCCAGTTGCCTGCCACTGGTTTGACAAGGAGGGACACTTTGGAAACACGTGCGCATGGACATTTGTTGTGGTGAATACAACATATAAATAAGTAAAACATGTGGGCGTAGAGTCGTACAGGCATGCCTGGAGTAATGAGCAAGCCCTTGTGAGGCAATGGTTCGTAACTGGCCTGTTTTGGCTCGGGCGTAGTTTTTTTGGTCCCTGCGGTTCCTTTGTTTGCTGTGATGCCCCGGAAACCTTCCGGTGAGATCAAAAAGCGGATCCACAAGAGAGTTCCCAAGCGAGAGTGGCATAGTAACACTCACATCGAATTTGCACAAGAGAACCCGAAAAGGCCTGGGACGAAAGCTTTCCAGCGGTACGAGAAGTACAAGTCCAGTGCCTGTGTTGGCCATGGGTGGCTGCAGGGGGGCCACCATGCTAGACTTGGATTCGGATTTTGCCAAAGGGCATTTAAAGCTGGCGGAAGGAAATGCATCTGCAGATGAATTGTCCGAGTTTGCTCCGGAAGATCCAGAGCAGTGTTTGCTTTTGCCTGTGCAAGCCGAAGTGAGCGCGGAGCCAGAACAACGTGTTAATGACTCACCACTATTGGAGGGTTATGTGCAACCTGGGGTGCACTCTGTTGGAGTGCAGGCAGTGGTTGAAACGGGCTCCACCAGCCCTTCCCTGGATGTGGCAATGCGCTCTGTGGGCGCGCAAACCGAGCAGACCAGCATGGAAGCAGAGTTAGCCGATCTGACCTACCAGCTCTACTATTGGCGTGAGAAGTGTTATAGGGCGGGGGTGGCGAAAAGGGGGGGAATGGCCTCCGTAGAAAGCCTTTGACTCGCAGAAACAAGCTGTGCTTGCAAGACAAAGGGCTGCCTGTTTTTGCCGTTTCTCGCTTCAAGTAGGGCCCCACGAGTGCAGTTTGATCATTGGATTACCTCAGCGGTTGGCGCCAACCATGGGCGTAATTGAAGAGCCGTTTCCACCCCCAATACCGGGTCCAATGTTCACAGTAAAAGCGACTCTATTCAGCGGATCTTTCACTGGAACATTACCCCGCTGGTTGGCGCCAACCATCGAGGTATTACATTGACAGTTGTGCCTCTCATTACCTGATACCTTCTTTGTTGATGGCTTGTAGCATGTCTTGTCGGTTGCCGGGCATCTTCGGGCATGGTGTCCCGGCTGGCTGCGCTCTTCAGGCACCAGAGCTCAAAACGAGCAAAGCCTGTGCACAAGGATGCGCCCACTAAGGCAGTTTCCGGCAAGGCAAAGCCCAACAAGAAGAGGGCTAAAGCTGCATCAAAAGACAGAGAGGAGCCGAAGTCGACGCAAGCTTTGTGGAGAAAATTTGGAAGGAAGTGGCAAGCTGGACCAGGTTCTGTGGTCCTGCCTCAGCAAGATGCAGCTGATCGTTTGCCCAAGAAGCATGTGTGGCTTCAATTTCGATCTGGCATGGGGTGTTCTGTACGCGCTTGGTTTGCAGAGCGTGCCCAGCCAGAGAAACCCAAGGATAGGCAAAGACGGTTTTGCACCAAGTGGTCCCAATTTCGTGTCTCGAGCATTTCGTCTATGCAAAGTTGCACCATTCGAGCTCATGCAGAGAGCCTTGTGCACAAGATGGCTTGGAAGGCCTTCTGCAACAAACAGTTGCTGCATTCCATTGTGCAGGAACCTCTAGAGGACAGCTACCTTCAGAAAGGCGGAGTGCCCCAAGTAGCAGATTGGCTCAGACTTTGGAAGGCCCTTCGGTCCACCAATTTGTCTCTCCGAGGTCTTGAGCAGCTAAGCTTCACAGATAGTTTCGCAGCATGCGACCGAACTGAGTGCAAAGGCATCTCCAGGGAAGCCTACAAACAGATGGTAGCGGTCTTTGTCGATGTTTTGCGGGAGGAAAAGCGAGAGGCACTCCGCAAAGCGGTGGCAGTGTGCATCAGCACGGACGACAAGAGTAGCCTGGAAATTTTTCATAATTTATCGTTTTGTTTTTCCATGTTCGGTATCGTGTTCGCTGGTCTTAGCCACTGGCCCGTGCTCGGACGAACACATTCAGGCCCATGGCGCGATGTTTCGTACCAAGCTTGCTTGCAAGATGGCAGTGTTTGCCGCGGCGTCGTGCGAGCAACTGGCATCCATCCATTGTCTCCAGTTTTCTTGTTTTTCACAAGAGAAAGCGGAACATCTATTAGGTGGTGTACCTCCTTTTTATCAGAAACTTCTGTCCATGGTCGAGCACGACTCTGACCTATGTTGCGTGTGTTGTTGTGCATGGCTTTCTCTCTCCCTCTCCCTATGGATGTAGGTATATATATATATATATTTTTTGCTGTTTGTTTATATAGACTGTAATCCGGTATAGTTTGGCTTTTGCCAGTGGTCGAGGTGGTCTTCACCAATGACGACCTAGACAAAGACAAAGTGGAGTCAGATAAGTCCGTGGCCATGGCAGAGAGCATTGTTTCCGCGTGGACGGATCTGTGCACACCAAGAGGTGGAACCCTGGACAGGGAACTGCTGCAGCACATTTTGTCCATCACTTTTGCCTGGTCATCTGACAGATGTCCTGCGGCCATGAAAGCAGCCCGTGCACTTCGCCAGCATTGCCCGAGGCTGTGCTTCATCAACAAAGATCCTTGTCACGTCATTCGCACAGTGACCAGCTTGGTGGAGAGTAGCTTTGGCAAAGCGGAGGAGGTATTGTTCAACGACAAGACATCGGTAGTCCCCACAATCACCAACTCAGCTGAGTGGAGCCTCGAAGAGTTCAATATTTCCACTTTTTTTAAACGGCTCGGTTTGTTTTTCCACCACGCATTAGGTTTTGTCGGCATTGAATTGGTGCAGTTGGCCAGCTCAGGAAGAGTAAGTTCCTGTGGTTGGAGAAACTCGTATTGGAGAAGCCAGAGTTCAGTGGTGCCATGAAGGTCGCCGTTCGACATTTCCAGTGGGCGAAGACAAGATGGGAATCCAGCGCAGGACCTCGAAGGCGGCTGTGCCATCTTCTGATCCCAACCGCGTTGCTGCTTGCTGTGGCTGCGTCGGATGCCCGCGCATCTCCAGAAGAGCAGAAGAGGCGCCTTGCCAATCTTTTCAAAGGGAGGTAGCCGCCCAAGAAGCACCACTAGTTTTTTAAGTCGATAACTGGGCGCTTCGATCCCTAGACAGGCTGGTCTCACGGCTGGACGCTCTCCGGCCACAACTTTGGCTGGAGCTTGGGATCGCCGCGGATTGGAGGGAAGAGTTCATCTCTCTCATTCGGCGCTTGGAGCCAGAGGGCTACGACCCGGCCTGCTTGGAGGCGGATGTGCGGGAGTGGTTCCGTCGGCAGACGCAGCTTTTTCAGGATGGCCGGATTTTAGATGAGCTTCCTGACGAAGAGGGGTCGGAGCAGTCGTGCACCTTTCACGTGGTCAGGAATGCGATGCAATGCCCTCCTTTGTATGTTGGTGGCAGAGTCTTCCACATGTGGTCGAAAGAGCGTGGTGACAAACAGGTCTTCCAGGGCGTTCTTCAAAACATGTCCAACCTGGTTGAAGCGGCCAAGGCTCGTGTAGACTCGGAGCTCTTGAACACCATGCAGACGGATTGGCAGGTTTTTTCACTTCGGTCTTGGACGCGCAGCCGCAACCAAAGTGTGGAAGAGCAGAGGACTTTTGATTCTGTGTTGCGGCATCGCCTAGGTCGGCTACTGCGCTCTTTGGCATTGAGTGTGCGCGATGGCACGGAGCAGTTCTTTCGAGTGGCCCCGATTTTGGCAGAAAAGTTTGAAGAGAAAATGGACAACCGCGTCCTGTGGCACCGTGTTTTTGAGGAGGCCACGGTCCGGACAGCCGGTGATGTCTCTGTCCTTCGTCGCTGGGGTTGAGATGGGTTTTTGCAACTGCATGCTACACTGCTTTCTGTTGGTTAGTTGGGTTGGGTTTTTGTGGGACGAGGGAGGGGGGCCCCATTATTTTAGACTCTCGGACTAAAACCCCTGACCTGAGGTATTTTGGTGGGCGCCTATTTAGCGAACATGGCTGGATCCACGGGTCGGGAGCGAGAATTGGCACAGATCAAAGCTCTGGCAGACAATCACACGAATTGCAGTGCTGATTTGGCATCGGCAATCCACGAGATCCGCATGGATGGGCCGCAGGATGAATCAGGCTTGGCTGTCAGGTACGCAGCTCAACTTCGGAAATCTTGCGAGGATGCTGTTGAGGAGTCTGTGGAGCCAGGTTTGGCAATGGCAACTTTGAGCAGAAAATTGGCCACTCTTTGGGTGCAGCGGAATGGTCGCCGATTCCGGGTGTACCGCGTCAGGCGGGACAAGGGGGGAGCGCAGAGGATGCCGTCCTGGTTCCGAGCGAGCCCTCATCCTCTCCCAGCAGCAGGGTCGTGCGCAGCTGGCCGATGGCAAGGGGCGATGCAACGGCCTCTTAGGCTTCAAGAAAGACGACCTCTTGGTGCCCAGAGGCAAAAGAAAAGAAAAATACTTGCTGTCCGATGTGCTGGCCCAATTCAGAAAGACAACCGAGAACCGGCAGAAAGAAAAGCTTGCTCGACACGGAAACATCAGAGCGGGTGCAAACCCGTACCCTTTGGGTTCCCTGCGCCTTGGTCGCCTCTTTGATGGACCCGGGGATGAAGGCCAGACGACTATCCGGTTGGGCGGCAGTGGGCGACAGGTGCGCACCTACAACCTCTCCAAAGTGGGAGCTTTGCCTCTCATTCCCGGAGCAAAAGTGTTGGACTCTTTCAGCTCACAAGTTGATTTGGTGGTCGTAGACTCCCTGCCTGACCTTTCCTATGGGGGACAGCACCGGAAGAGCACGTGCCCTGGCATCGGCTATGACTGTTGTGCGCCCACTTTTCCCCTCCCCC